CCGGCCTCCAAAACACGCGTCGACAAATGTGAGGTGTGGGCAAGGAATCCTGCCGCGATACCAGCGGGCCGACCCGTGCCGCGAGTAGAGCAACCCACGATCTTACGACAACACGCCGACGACTACTCCGGCCTGGCACCGACGCCGGCAACCGCCGACCAGCACGCCGAGGAGGGCAGCCTGCACTCACCCGCCTCGCCGCGACTACAGCGCCAACGAACCAGGAGGACGACTGCCATGGCCAGACTCATGGACCTTCACAAAGCCGGCCTAGACGTTCAGACGTCTCTGGTACTACTACGAACCCTCACTGCAGGAGACATGACGTGGCACTTGCGCACCAACGGGGTCCCCGCCCAAACGGCGACACAGCTCGACGCCGACCTACTCAGCACACTGGAGGAACTAGTGCTATCGCACGACCGCTACTGGCACCCTGTCGCTTTGGGCGGCTTGGGATTCCAGAGCGCGAGCGCAGCGCGCCTGGATGCTCAGGCGGCCTCGTGGGCACTCTGCGAGCAGCCAGTGCTCCAGCGACTGGGCCTCCGCGACAGAGATGACCTTCTCCACTATTGCCCGGGCTTGAGACCGGCGCTCCACCGCCTCCAGAGCACTGTCAACGCGCTGACACAGGAAGAGGCAGCACAGCAGACGCCCGACACGGAGCCGCCCGACACCACCCAACGGCGCTTTACCAGCCACAGGCGGCACGCAGAGTGGACGCAGTGGCTACGACGCACCCAGACGGAACCGCACCAACGGGCCTGGGCTCTTAGCACGACAGGCAAGAGGGCAAGCGCGTGGCTCGGGCCGCCCACGCGGCCCGACCACCACCTCGCTGACGCCCACTTCAGGATGGCCGTGAGACACAGACTCGGAGGTCTCGTACGCGCAGCTGACGGCCCCTGTCCCTTCAGAAAGGAGGACGGAACCCGCTGCGCCGGCACCGTCGACACTAACGGACGCCACGCGCTTCGCTGCTCCTGCGGCGGCTTCATGGTTAAGAGGCACAACAACCTGCGCGACACCATCGCGCTAGCCCTACGTGAAGCCGGCATTTGCGACATCGCAGTCGAGCCACGGATTCGCCCGCTCACAGGGCCGGGCAATCCGGGTCTCCGCGCGGACCTCAGGTGCACCGACAGTGACGGCCAGCGGGCTTTATCGTGACTTAACGATTGTGCATCCCGCCTCGCAGCAGAGCCTGCAGGCCGGAGGGGCCCACGCCCAAGGCACCGCTGCGAGATTGGCCGAACAGGCCAAGCGCCGCAAATACAACGGAGTCGCTGGTTTTCAGCCCCTCGGCTTCGAAGTGTCGGGAGCCATGGGCGAGTCCACCCGGAAATGGCTCGCGCAGCAAGTGCCTGAGGGCCCTGGGCGACAGGAGACTCTCAGCACTCTCCGCCGGTCCATCGCCACCTGCGTGGTCCGGGAGGTGGCGCGCACGCTCGTCAGCGCTGCCTGAGATGGTCGTCGGGCCAGCCAGCGCGCCTAACGCAGGGGTCTGGTGGCTCACACCCCTGGGCCTGGAACCGGCGGCCTAGCACGACGACGGCACCAGCGCGAGGACAGCGCTGCTGCAGGAGGACGCACGAGGACAGCACCAGCACGGGGACAGCGCGAGGACAGCACTAGCACGAGGACAGCACTAGCACGAGGACAGCACCAGCACGAGGACAGCACTGGCACGAGGAGGGGAAGGGGCGCCGAGGAGGCGCGCCGAAGAGGAGCGGCGAGGCCAAGGAGGAGGAACGCCGAGGAGGAGCGCCGAGGAGGAGCGGCGGGAGCGGGTGGCGGTGGCGGCGGCCGGGAGCGGCGGCGGGGCGGCTCCGGCGGCGGCGGCGGACGGACCGGGGGCGAAGGGGGGAGCGGCGCCCGGCCCCGCGGCGGCGGGCGCGGGCGCGGGCGCGCGCGGCGCGGCCCGTGGCGCGCGCGGCTCGCCCCGGGGCCCTCCTCGGACCCGAGGGCCCTGGGGCACAGGGAGGAGGAGGAGGAGGAGGAGGAGGAGGAGAGGAGGAGGAGGAGGAGGAGGAGGCGAGCGGCAATCGGCGATTTCTCACGCCATCGGAACCAGGAGAAGGAGGAGGAAAAGGAGGAGGAGGAGGAGGAGGAGGAGGAGGAGGAGGAGGGGGAGGAGAAGGAAAAGGAGGAGGAGGAGGAGGAAACGACGCAACCGAAGGAAGAGGAAAAGGGAGGAGGAGGCGGAAAACAAAGCGGGAGCGGGAGCGGGAGCCGGAGCAGGAGCGGAGGGGGAGGCGGGGGCGGAGGCGGGGGCGGAGGCGGGGGCGGAGGCATGACCCCTCCCCCATACCCCCTACCCTGGACCTGGACGGGGGGCACCGCACCGCGACGCGCTGGAGCGTCCAAGATGGCCCATGACGGCTCCAAGAGCGCCTCAGAGAGCCCAAGATGACCTCCAAGTGCCTCAAGATAGCCTCAAGTGCCTCAAGATGGCTCCCAAAATGCTCCAAGAGGCCCCAAAAACGCTCCAAGAATGCTCCAGGTGGCCACGGAGCCTCCCCAGGAGGCAAATCCTTCCGAAACCGAAGGAATCAATATTAGTTGCGTTCTCGCACTTTCGCTTCCGATGGCCTTCCGAGGCCTCAGGATGGCTCCACGATGGCCCAAGAGGCCTCCATGACGGCCCCAAGAGCGTCCAAGAGCGCCCCAGGAACGCTCCACGAGGCGATTTGAAGCACTCTAGAAGAGCAAGGCTAAGTGGAGTTCCCTTTTTGTTTGATCGATGTCTTCCAACATGGCTCCAAGAGCGCCCCTGGAGCTCCCAAGAGCGCCCCAATAGGGCCCCAAGAGGCGCTAAGACTGCCCCACGAAGCACCCGAGGGGCCTCCAAGAGGCTCCTAACAGACCCCCAAAAGGCCTCAAGAGGAACCCCGAGGCGGCATCCAAGACGCTCAAAGACGGCCCTGGGCCCGCCAACATGCTCCAAAGACGCCCAAAGAAGCCTCCAAACAGCTTCCAAGAGACATCCGAGGAGACTCCAGGAGGCACTCATGAGGTTTCTGGCCCTTCAGTTCGCCCTTTCCTCCTCCTCCTCCTCCTCCTCCTCCTCCTCCTCCTCCTCCTCCTCCTCCTCCTCCTCCTCCTCCTCCTCCTCCTCCCTCCTCCTCCTCCTCCTCCTCCTCCTCCTCCTCCTCCTCCTCCCCTCCTCCTCCTCCTCCTCCTCCTCCTCCTCTCCTCCTCCCCCCTCCCCCCCCCTCCCCCTCCTCCTCCCTCTCCTCCTCCTCCTCCTCCTCTCCTCCTCCTCTCCTCCTCCTCCTCCTTCTCCTCCTCCTCCTCTCCTCCCCCCCCTCCTCCTCCTCCTCATCATCATCATCATGACATCCTCATCCTCATCCTCATCATCATCATCACCATCATCATCATCAGCAGTATGATGATCATCATCATCATCACCATCATCATCAGCATCATCATCATCATCATCATCATCATCGTCATCATCATCATCATCATCATCATCATCCGCCTCCTCCTCATCCGCCTCCTCCTCCTCCTCCTCCGTCGAACGATAATAACTGTCCTCCAGTGTGCTCCTACGCTTCCATCATCGTCTCAACTCGCCGGGGCCTCATGGTTGGATCGCCTGGTGCGAACTTTTGCTCGCGAGCGCAAACGGAAGGGCCGCGCGCCGTCCAAAGCTACAGCTAACAAGCAGGAGCCAAAACTGCACACGAGAGCCTGGTGAGGATACTTTTTGTAGCCAGCCGCAGGCGAGCGCGCCGACGGCGTGTAAGGTCCGAGCGGGCCGCGCGAGGTCCTAAATTACCTAGCACGAGCAGGCCTACCGCCGCAACTCAGGCCGACACCAGGAAGGGGCCGAGGGGGGGGGCGGTGGGCTGCAGGCTGCCAGAAGCTGCAAACGTGCACCGTGCTGCAAACGCGCTGCTGACTGCCAGGGGCTGCAGGCTGCCAGGTTTGAATTGAACTGCAGAGAAATGGACAACCGCTGCAAACTGAGAGGCTGCCAGGGTGGCCTGAACCGTGGAGGCCTGAACCACCAAGTGAACGAGTTGACTGCGCGTGAATTGGCCAACCGAAGCTGGAGCGCAGCCAAAATGGCGCGCAGTAACACCAAGATGTGACCAGGGTGACGGCAAATCGGTGTACGGACTGCCCAAGATGCCCACCTTGGTCCAGCAGGTGCGGGTGGTGGCGCCACCGAAGTCGCACACCAAAGCCTGAAGGGGGGTGCGGTCCGCAATCGTCCGGCCACAGATGGCGGGACGAACAGGGACCAGGCGGACGATCCAGGTGAGGATACGCGAAGCGTCAAACGAATTTCGTAGGTTCGCAATTTCTTGGCAGGCGCGCCAGCGGCAACGCCACCAGTCGCCGCCAGGTGGTCCAACACCAGCCCCACAAAGCCGCGTGCACCTCTGGCAGCCTCTGCTCGCGTCGGCACTTGCTTGGGGGCCCCGACAACGGGGACTGTTTGATAACTCAGATTGCTGCAGTGGGTCGCACCGTTCTCCCCTGCTCGCTCCCTCCAGCCAGATAGATCTGGCAGAGTCCTTGCCAAGTCCTGGCATTCGGGAGCGACGAAGAGAGACAACCACAACTGGTGGGCTGAGGGAACCGCCCCAGGCGCCCCAAAGGCCGACCCCGAATTCGCCAGCGGTGATGACCTGCGCGCGGCGTTCAATCTCGAGCGCCGCGCGATGGTCATCACCGCTGGCGGGTCGGGGTCGGCCTTGGGGGTCACCTGGGGTAGTTCCCTCAAACCGCTGGTTCTGGCTGTCCCTCCTTCGCCCAGAAGATCCCCGAGAGGACGGCGGCTGGGGGTCGAAACGCTCTCCATTCTTCGCTTCCTTCAGCTGCATCAGGTAAAATCCTGATGAGCAAAGTCCTGGAAGGACAACAGGTCACGGTACCGCTGCCACCTCCCGACCTCTCCCGGGGCGCGTCCTGACCGGCATTCCGAGACGAATCCGGCGGTGGTGACGAGGGCCTCCCAGGAGGC